TTCCCTTTGGTCTCAGGGGCAAGAAGTACCAGTACATTTTAGTTTGTTCAAGGACCAGGTAGCCCAAACAAGGGGTCTTACTGCACAAAAAGAAAGCCTAGACCACTACATCCACTTGCCTTGTAATAGCAGCATCTGGTTCTTTCACCACTAGATTTCGAAGTGCTTTACTATGGAGGTGAGTATCATTGACCCTATTTCACAGACAGAAAAACAGGCCTCTGTTTTCCCTAACCCATCTCCTATAGAAAAGGGAGGCAACTTGCTTAAGGTCACTGAGCAGGACAGGGGCAAAGCCACAAGTAAAAACTGAGTGTTGGTCCCAGTCCAAGTCCCAAGCCATTTGACTATACCAGAACCCTCATAATGTATGTCAAGAAGGTACATTTTATTCATGTTTGCCAAGTGCTTTATAATTCTTGGATACAAATTGGTTTATTTTCAGGGACTTGAGTGAGGATGGGATTAGGCGATATAGAAGTATAAGGTTTCTTTGTCTTGAAAAAGTGATCTTGTCACATTGCTTTGGGCTCTCAGTTCAGGTTTTTTAAATCCCTGATAATCCATAGAATTCTTCTTTTTTTTAACAATAACTAAAAACCAGGTTTTTTTTTAATGTAAACATTCCTCTCCAGTGTCTTGGACAGAGTTATGCTGACACATATTTGTCTGTATACCTCTCCAGATGTTTGGACCATAGTCAACGGTATTCCAGTGTTTGAAAAGTAGAAACTGAGATGTAGTTAGGGCTTTGTTAGTCTGAAGTCAAGATAGATTTGCACTTTCTGGACTAATCCAGCAGCTCCCAAACTCTGACAGGTTGCGCACCACCAATTTAAAATGGTACAACTTTGAAGCAATTTTTTCAGTTCAACCTTAAGTACCACCAGCAAATTTTTGTCATATAAAGTAATTATAATAAATCTGTTAACACGTACCGCTGACAGCTTGTCTGCGCACCACTGATGGTACGCATACCATGGTTTGGGAACTGCTGAGCTAATCAAACCATGCTCACATCTATGTGTGTGTGTGTATAGATATAGATGTAGATATATAGATACAGATACAGCACGAGCTTTTTGTGAGCTGAAGCTCACTTCATCAGAGGCAATGAATTACAAATTAAAAATTGCAATGGGCTGGAACAAATTAATCGATTTTTGCCCTCAATTTAAGTGCAACAGTGGTGAAAAGCGAGGCTGTCTCTTGCATGTTTAAGCTCTGTTCTCTGCTGTGTCATTTTCTGTGTTGTCATTCACTCACCCGGGAGAAAGTTTGGGCGCACGTTCCCCTCATCTCTTGTCTGTGATGAAGATCTCTGTTGCCTGTTCTGTGGTTGAAAGATCTGATGTGTATAGTGGGAAGGATAACTTTTTCCCTTGCTGTTGAAAGAACATTTTTTCCCCTTTTGTGTTTACTGTCTCATTAAAACTGCTGGTAGAAAAGAGGTGGGTTTTCTCCAAAAATCTCCACTTCTTGACCTTTCAAACTCACTGGAGAAAGACAAAACATTGGAACTGTAATAAAAGGGATGTTGTTGTATGGAAAAAGTAATCATCAGTTAGACAGACAGAAACAAGCTAGAAAAAGGTTGTTAGGCTTTTCCTTCTGGCAATGTAAAGGGATACAGTTAATTTAAAAATCATATTTTGGAAGCAAATAAAATTTCTCAGCCTATTAATTTATATTGTAAAAAGGGAAAAAATATTAAAAGTAAAGTTTTCTTTTCAATTTTTATTTTGTTTCTTTACTTTGTTTCCTCACAGTTTGGACAATGGCTAGTAATAGAGTTAGTTGAACGTTTGCTTTTAGGTAGATTTCTTTCAGATTTTCAGTGCTGCAATATTTGAGTTGCCGATTCTAAAAAAGGAATATGTTTATTTGAAAACAACTTTCTCTTAGAAAGTTTTTAAAGCCACATGACTATTTATGTCAGTCTTCATTAAAAAAATCTATTTGTTTGTAAGCTAAACATTGAGCTCAATTTGCCTTGCTAATGTCTTTTAACCACCTTCTATATGGGGACAGATGTAACAAATGGAGGAATTGTATTAACAGCGAGACCCACATACTTGCAAACACATTAAGAGCTTTGCTAAAACAGAAATAGCCAGCAGCTAACGCTATCGTTTAGTCTCTAAGCTGTGGATGTTTTATTTATTTGGTGAAGGAAAAATTGTGACTGTAGCAGCCCTTACTTGTTGTGTTTTGGGGCGAGCAGTGTAAATTCAGAATGTTTGCTGGCTAGTTCAAATCCTTTCAGATCCGTGGTGCCCACCCCGTGTTTGGACTCCACGGACAAGAAGAATGGCACAGGGTCAGTCCATGGGCTGGATTTGACCCCATGCACTGGGATTGGGTCCTGTACTGCCCCTGTTGTCTGGATCAAGCCCTGGGGCCCCACACCACCCCTGCCTGACCCCATGCACTGGGATTGGGGCCTCACGCCAAGTCCGCTTGGTCCTACGTGCTGGGATCCAGGCCCTTCTTGCCCTCACTCAGCCCCACACACCAGGATTGAGGTTCGAGGGCTCCATGTGTTGGAATCGGTCTCCAGGGCCCCTTGCAACCACCATGTGGCCCCATGTGCCAGGATCGGGCCCTGATGGTACCTCCACCCAACCCTGTGTGCTGGAATGGGGCTCTGCATTGCCCCCCTGCAGCCCCATGTTCTGGTATTGGGGCCTTGAGTCGCCCCACACCAGGATTGGGCCCTGCATGCCCAATTAAGCCCATGAGGCTCCCCATGTACCCAGACAACCCAGCACTGGGGCCTGGATCTGGCCCGCAGGCTAGGGGTTGAGCCCCCTGTTTTACATTGCTCACCAAACTCGCACTCATTCCAAACAATTTTTAGATGATTTCTTAATTCGGTCGGCTCTCTGTGTAGCAGAGGACAGCTCACAAAATCTCTCCATGTGGAGGTAAGCATTTTGTCCAGCTAAGGAACATTTCAGGCAAGGAAACTTGTCACATGAAATAAGAGATCAGAGAAAAGCAGCATTCCTTTACACATCGTATACTGTGAAGTTTATGAAAACCTCGGTGTCCTAACAAGGCTTAGACTGAGGTGAAGTTCAGCTTCATTCAGATTGCTGAACCAGACCTATGTTGCCCTTCTTAAATCATTCACCTGGGATAAAAGGAAACAGTTTATCCCTTCTTCAAAGGATGTTTTCCTTCCGCATCAAGCCCTGACTGGTGTTATGTGAGACATGGGAAGGTTAATAGTATATCTTTGCAACAGATATTTCTCTAAGGTGGTTGATAATACATATGGTCATGTGTGCTAAAGAGCATGCCCCATCCTAATAGTTATCTTCATTTTATTACATGAGTATTAGTTTCTGTTTGGGGTCAAAACTGACACAATTTAAATTCCATCTACCTGTGAGGGGAATTCAGCTGTATTCTATGGCCACTGTGAGCCAGCTAGGCTGTTTCAAAACTGACTTCAGAGGACCTGGAAGGTCCCCAAGGAAAGACCCTGGTACAAAGCTCCTTCCTGTTCTGCATGGGATTGGCCACAAAGGCGCTTTATTTCTCAAGTTAGAGCTCCCCATGCAATGGGCATGCTGCGATCAGCAGGTGGAGCTAAGGGACGTTCCTAGCTATTTTCCTTGCAGCCACATAGCCTTATTGGCCATGGCAACCTGAATGCAATTTAGGGTGGCCCTAGTGCCTGCTACAATGATCCCAAATTTCTCTTTCCTCCCTTCCTCACTGGGAACCTCAAGATACAGATGATATGAGCTGTCCTCCAACATCCCTATGTTGGGCTCTGCAGTAACACTAGCATGAGTTCAGATCTGTTTATTAATCAGAATCGTAACCTTTCCCATTAAAAATCAGCACTGCACACCTGGAAGGGAAGCCAGTCCTGAGTATCAGGCACAGCTGAAGTGTGTTGCCACTAGCTATCTCTTCTCAGAAAAAAAGATTAACAAATTAACTGAGAGATGTAATTAGCCATGCTAGACTGAACTTACACAGAAGGGAGAACAGGGTGACACCTTATTGATTAATTCACTCAGAGAGGCACGAACTTTCATGGGTTACAGCTTACTTCATCAGATGCTAGTCCATTCGTAGCATGCCAAAATAGACTGTAGCCTATGAAAACTCATACCTCTTTGAATGAGTCAGTCTATAAGATGCTACCCTGCTCTGCTTTCTGACAACTTAATAGAATTAAAGGACACCTATACATGTGCCAGACATTTGCTCTGATTTGTGCTATTTAGCACACGTCGGAGCAGACTCAATTAATCAAGTCTGCTGGAGCGTGCTAAATAGCATGCTCCAGCAGCCTCCATGTCGCATGTATTCAGTGTCCCCTCCCTGCACTTCAAACTGGCAGCAAGGGTACTTTAACTAATGCTCATCGAATGAGCTTTAGTTAAAGCAAACCCCCCTGCCACTTTATAGTGTGGGATACTAAATACATGTGATGCTGCGTTTGCTTTAATAGGAGCAGCTCTTGGAGCCGCTCTAATTAAAGCATGCTTCCCCCCCTGCATCCTGGAGCATACGTAAAGACACCCAAAGTGGCCTTCTATATTGGATCCAGGCAAAGAGCACTGCAGTAGTATTGTGTAGACGAAAACATGTAGATGTCTATGACTGTGAAGGGTGCCACCTCTGAGAAGACAAGTTGCGACCTGCTGTCATCCTTTGTTTCTCCTCCAGCATCTCTCTGTTAACTTTTCTATTGCTGCCATGGCTGTCTTTATTAATAAGTCTCCTAATGCTTCCACTAATAAACATGTTGCCATTCCCTTTTCTTCCTCACAGCTATGGGTGAACCAAGAAGACGGAGTAGAGGAAGGAACCAGCGAAGTACAGAATGGCCATTTGGATCCAAGTGCCGACTGCCTCTGCCTTGGCAGAACCCTTCAGAACCGAGACCAGATGAGAGCTAATGTAATCAATGAAATCATGAGCACAGAGCGCCATTATATCAAGCACCTCAAGGACATTTGTGAGGTATGTTGGGATTCTGTTAAAAGTTCGTGATAGCAGTCTTCAAATATCTGAAAGGCTGTAATAAAGAAGAAGGGCGGTATACAATAGCTTTGATTTTCAGCAAAGCAGATTTAGATTAGATATGCAGTGCTTTACCAATGCACCATAATCCTGTGTCTTCAATACGTCTTGATTTCAGACTCCTTACATGCTTCTGACAGTACAACACAATGCTGAAATGAAGTGCAATCTGCTATCCCCGGTCCTGGACTTCCGTGAAGCTCTATCAGTATACCTTAGTCCTCCCTTGAAGTCCCCACTGCTGCGTCCAGTGCCGCCCCCTCACACCGTTCATGATGATGTGGATCAGACTGCAGGCCTTCCTCATGCCATTGTACCCCTTTTGAATTTACTTTCACCCTGATTTTGCTCTTCTCATGCTGAAGGGGAGTTCTCAAACTTTCCTACCTATGTTCTTAACAGAGACAGGCATCTGTACCAAATTGTCCTATGCTTGTCACTGTTGTGTGTAAAAACCTAAACTGAGGGCTCTCCAATGTTTCACCTGGTAAAGTGAGGGTCTATTTCTTTTGAATTAGATGGATTAGGTTCCAGAAAGTTTAATGTGTGGAAAACATTCAGATGAAACCTTAAAAACCAAGGTGCTGTTGATTGTGTGTGGTCATTAGTAATCCTAGGACAATGTTTTACGCGGGGCAATTTCTGGATTGCCCTTTCCATTGATCATGCATTCCTCTCCTCTCACTACTGTCCAGCTGTGCAATGCCTGCCTCTCTATTCCTGCAGAGGTGGAGTGGCTGCCTTTCTTCCATTGTGCGTGTATCCGTGTGCTTGTGTGTGTGTAATAGCGAAGCAGTATCTCTAAGTAAGGATTGAAGTTTCTGAGCATTTTCAACTAAATCTGCTACTTAATTTGAGTTTATAATAATTAGACAATGGGACCTTTAAGAAAATGTTCCAATCATTTTTATTTTGACTAACAAATGCCTGGATTGTTATCCTTCAAACATGCCCTATAATTAAAACTCATTGCCAGCTACTTCTGAATGTACGTTTGAAGAAATTAGGTTGTAATTAAGCAAAGTTAGTAGCAATTTTTTTTCACCATTTTCCCTATTATGTTCACATTTCCTTATTCAAAATGGCTGCTGTTTCTCCTTGTAAAGGTACTGAAGTGACTCATGCCCTGACTGCCCACGGAGTTTTCTCACTGTTTGAATTAAATGAATTATTTAATTATACTGTGTACAACTTGAAGAAAATTGCAGGCAGATTATCATTAGGGGTTCAAGCTGGACCTTTAGATTCTCAGCCTGGCCCTCCTTCATGGACTTAAAGTGGCTGTTATCTTCCATGTGGATACACACAGCTCATTAATCTTCTTCTTTATATAACACAGAGTCATAACTAGAACCTCAGGAAAATTAGTAAATATGCAAAATTAGACACAGGCACAAGTTAGGTGTCTCAAGTGTTGTGTGTTTATGGAGGAAAATGTGATGGTATAATTAACCTTTTGGGTGATACTGCAAGGGAGGTTAATGTTTTGGGCACCATGTATATGTTTAACAGTGAGAAGCAGAAGGAAATTTGTTGTGGTGATATGGAGTTGTTATTGTTGGAAGAAATATTCTTTAGTGGGCCATTAAGATATGCTTAGGAGGCGTCCTGTAACTTGACATTTCCTTCTCTTTAGCAGTTGTTTTGGGAGGCTTGGAGAATGACAAGTAGAATGAGGCCACCTGTTAAACCCGTCTTAAAAGGAGTCTGTCTGTGGAATTAAAATTCATGTTTTCTCTTATATATCACCATATCCTCACTTGATGTAACTGGGGTAGCTGCACTGAGCTGTTTGTTTATCCCAAGCTGAGACTCCAGCACAGACTTTCTAAGGTGTATTGAGCTCAGTCAGGATAAAGGCACTATACAAATGCATTGATACCATGAACTTTGGTACCTTGGTACAGTCTGACAAGTGGTTGGTGAATCTGGCTAAAATTGAGATCGGGTTCCTATAAATTGAAATTGGCTTCTTGTTGTCTACTAGAATTTTAATAACAATAGCTTTCCTTTCCTACAAAATAATTTCTACATTTTAAAAAGTTGATTTGTCCTAATGTGGGACAAAAAAAATTGTAATCACAAAATTTTGGTAGCAGAAACTCTAAGTAAAATTAGGAATTATCAAAGTAGTTTATGCTGGTAATTGCATATATTTTGTTCTGATTTTGCCCATCTTTATATTTTAATTATTTTATTATAATCAGCACATATTTCTGCAAAGTATTTTTGAACCAGAACATTGTTTTTTACTTTGAAATGTCAACATTTAGGATTTTGACAATATGACATTTTTAAACCTTTTTTTCAAGTTGAGAAATTTGTTGAAACCGACTTCTTTCCATGACAAGCTTCAAGTTTTGTGGTTTTTCAAGTATGTTTTTGTGGTTTTTTCTACCACAAAAACATATTGGCAAAAATAACTAACTCTTCTCAGTAAGCTAAACGTATCCTTTTCTTCTGACATTTTGGGAAAGGCTTGCAATCATTGAGTGATCATGTTTTTATCACGTGATTCACGGGCTCTTCTTTTCTCTTTACTACCCTCCTTCAGAGGATAGCTTTCTTTAGAGCTTGATTTGCTCCTTACTCTTAATGATCTACAGTGAAGTCTACTACTTTGAACTCAGGCCACTGACAATTTTAAACTTAAAATCACATGTCGAGTCTTTGCAGAATCAATACTCTATGTCCATAAGGACTTTGAGTCACTTGATGTCTTCATTTATTTTAACCTGGCCTTGTCTTGGTGAGAAAGCAAAAATCCATCAAAATGGGAAATGGGAATTTCTGAAACTGTTTCAAGGGTGGAAGAGTTGTGAAATCTCAGCTGGAAGCCAATGAGTTTGATTTAGTTCTTGTTCTAGTAAGAAGTATTTGAATTGAAGAAGTGAAGTATTGTAACAGTTTTTCTATATATTATTTCTTTACCTCCACTGGTATTTTTTTTATCTGATAAACCATGAATTTACTACTAGACAGCCTCTAATTAGGTCTTTTATTGGGCCAGATTGTCAGCTGTTCCAACCAGACATAGCTCCACTGACTTTAGTGGACCTACACTGATTAAGGATCTGGTCCACTACATGGGAAGATGCGTGTCACCAAAGCTCGTATCTTGCTCTGCGTTGCACTAAGTGGAATTGAAGGATAAATCTTACCAGAAGGTAGAGTACTAAAAAGTGATACCACTGCTTTTTTTAAACTAGGGAAGACTGAAATGAGCATTCTCATTTGCACAGTGATGGGCCATCCGTTGCTGGAGAGAAGCTCATCTTGCTTGAATTAAGCAGACAAATCAGAGCAATCTGTTTGCCCTGAGAAGGCTCTGAGACAGCTTGATCACTCCAGGCTCTGTCCAAATAAGTTGACTTGACTGTGTGTTTTTGTGCTTTAGCAGAGTGTAGCTCGAGTTAAGAGCTAGGCAAGACAGCTTGATTTCCTATCTGTGCTACAGGGTGAACACAGGCAGAGGTGCTAACCTGTGCTGGGGAACGAACCTCGTTCTGACAACAAACTGACAAGGCACTGGAGTGTTGTTGACACTGGCAAGTTTTATAAATTCCCCCTCACTCTTATTTATGGGACTGGAGGAAAAGCACAGCCTTGTTATAAATCAGGTAACATGAAAGCAAAAACCTGCCTGGCAGATGAAGGCTAAACATGCATTGGGATTGGGTATATCAGCATGAGCCAGGTCTCATTTATCATATATAACCAAAAACTTCTTGTAGAGTCATTAAAATATCTCAAGATTTGCATTTGTACTAGACTGCTGTTTGATTTAAGTGATTAAGGGCATTCAGTCTGTGCTGTCCTCTCTTAGAACATACCCAATGCCCAATAATGTATTATTATGCACTGTTATTATTACATTGAAAGTACCACATCGAAAGAACATTAAGGTCACTCGGTCAAGAACTCAAAAGTTATGGAGTGCCAGAATTAAAATCGCCTGCTGCCTGAGCAGACTGAGATTTGTCAGAGGCATGTAACAAGGCCGAGTTTGGGTGAATCTTCACAGGAACAGCAAAAGATGCATCACTGATACCTTTGTCAAATATCATGCCCTTGCTGTAAAGCATGGTGGCACTAGCACGTGTCAGTTGAAGCCTTGTAGGACTGTTTTAATGCAGACAAAACAATGCATTTTTCTTACCTACATTATCAGAAATAGCTGAATCTTTTTTTTTTAAATGTCACAAAAAATTTTAGCCTGAGGCAGACACCCAGCATGGAAAATTTCTGCTCGAACAGCTAGAGTTTGGCAAAGTAATAAGCAACTGAAAACAGGGTCTTCTAATGGGAAGTGTCAGGTAACCTTAACTGTAGGCGGCACTGCTAGCTCCACCTATCATACAACTCCATAGATGTGCACAGTATTATAAAGATATTAAAAATGTAGTCCTTGCTTCCTAGTCTAAGGTTTTGATAGTGTAAATGTGCTGAGCACCTTCAGCTCTCACTGATTTAAAGGGTAGAGATGTAGGAGGAATCACACTATGTACAGCATTGAGCATAAAGAAGAAAACCCCAAACTAAATGCAGAAAAACACTGGAAAGCCAGTGCAGGGATTCAAACAGTGGAGGTTATATCATGACAGCAATGGGGAAGGGAAGTGCTTTTGACTGTGGCATTGTCTGCACTGAAGATGGAAGAGTGAGCTGTAGGATGGTCAAAACAGAGGGGGCATGCTGGAGTTGAAAAGAGATGACTGATTACCCAGGGCAGTATTTTCCACATCAGAGTGCAGAATGCAAATCAGATTAAACAAAGGTAGATAGGAGAAGTGATAAAGCTTGCATAGGAAGACAGAAGAAAAGAAACATTTTTTTTAAGATAGCCCGTGTTATGAGTGAGTTGGATGGATGACCTTTTCTCTCTCCTGAAATCCTCACCCTAAAATTTTGCTCAAATCCAAGCACAGGAAAGCTCCAGG